CATGTGGGTACTGGGAATTGAACCAGGATCCTCTGGAAAAGCAGCTAGTGCTTTCAACCACTGAGCCATCTCTCCAGCCCTGGACTTATCCCATTTTAAAAGATAAGGAACAGATTAAATGAGTAAGCAATAATGTAACAATCATGACCCTAAATATTAGAAAAGTATATGAAAATAAAAATGAGCAGAGACAAAATCAGAATTTGTTCTAACTCTAAAAGAAGAACAAAACCACTTAGAATAAAACAAATTGCTTTCAAATTTGTCAATTAGTACAATTTTGCAAAATGGCTCAGTGGGTAGGAACGCTTGCTGCACAAACGTCATGATGTGATTTCCATATATGGAGCCCACCCACAACAAAAGGAGAGAACTGACTTTTAAGGCTGCCCTTTATTTGAAAGAGAGCAAGGATGGGTATCTGAGAAGGACTGGAGGAAAGATATAATCTCAAGAGAGAAAGATGTAATCTCAAAAATAAAGGAAAAAGAAGACGACAGAAAAGTTGTCCTCTGTGACCATAGAGCATCTGTATTCACTCACAAAAACAGACAATAGGTACAGATTTAAAAAAAATTAAACAAAACTTTTCTAAGTATATTTTTAATCTACTATCAAATCAGAGATGACTCAAAGTTTAAATTCAGAATGCATAAATAAGTACACCATACATAGTTCTGCATGATGGCATGCTCCCTTAATTCCAGCACCTAGAAGGCAAAGAGGTAGGTGGATCTCTATAAATTCAAGGCCAGCCTAGTCTACATAGGTAATCCCAAGCCAGCCAGGACTACACAGTAAGACCCTATCTCAAAAAACAGAAAATAAATAAATAAATATGCCATACCAAACCTTTGCAATGAGTTCAGAATAGCAAAATAGGTTTTTCCTGTGCCAATCCTTTTAAATATTTTAGATTTTACTAGTAACCTAATCTGAAAAGAAAAACAAAATTAAAATAATAGGAGTTCAGAATATAGACAGTAGTAGATTTACTTAGCATGAAGAAGGCCCTGGATTTGATGCTTAGTACAAATATTACTAAGAAATACCCCTAAGCTATTGAAAGAATAAGCCAATTCTGGGCTGGATAGATGGGTCAGCAGTTAATGGCTGCTCTTATAGAGAACCTGGGATCAATTCCCAACACCCACATGGTGGCTCACAACTTTCTGTAACTTCAGTCCCAGGTAACCTGACCCCCTTCTCTGGCCTTTTGGGCACTACATGAGTACTGTACACAGACACACAGGCACGGAAATACCCAACATACAAAATAAATTGATGAAATTTAAAAAATAAAGTCAATTCTATCCTTACAAAGAAAATACTGACACAAACTACAACATGGATAAGCTCATGTAAGCCAGGCACCAAGGTTAAATATTATATGATGCCACTCACATGAGGTACGTGACGGGGTCAAACTCAGAGGCAGGAGTGAGTTCAGGGGCACAGAGCTCAGCTGGGGACATGAGAAAGTTCCAGAGGTGAAAGATAGTTGACAGCTGAACAGCAATATGAATGTACTTAATGTACATTTGAAGTATGCATTCAAAACTGACAAAACAAAATTATTTCAGTATATTTTAATTGAGTAGTAAAAGTCAACTGTACTAATTTACCTTTCTGTGTGCTGTTCTCTTCTGTTTTATTTAAAGGTAGCCTCGGAACTACAGCGTCTTTAGAAAAATCCTTTGGGCAGGAAAGAAAAGAGGAAAACCAAATGAGCCTTACAATTACCACGAATGAAGTAACACTGATTGCCATTTGACTACTGTGGTCTAGAAGGCAGGTCTGCACATTTTGTTATTTCATTCCCAACATAGCATGGTTCATAAGTACTCTGAAGCCACTCAAAGATTTCTTAGTGAATGAGCAATGTGATATCAGAACAGTGAATGAGAAAATGAACAAGCAAACAGAAATGACACAAGATTCTGATTCAAATCTACAGCTGAACATTTCAGTTGCTTCAGCTTAATGTGATAATCTGACTCAAGGAGGAGTCAAATGAAGGAAGATAGCACGGTCGTTTAATAGTACAACAGGATAAACCAACCATGGCTTTCATAGTCACTGAGCTCACGATTTCTTAAAAAGTTCCGCTATGTAGATCACATCTACTTTCAACAGCTTTCTGCTCTTGTATGCAATCCTAGAACTCGTAGCTAAGACTAGTGGGACTCTTGGACTCTGAAGGCACCGGATAGATTCCAGGTGGCTTTTCACCTTTCTGTCTTCTGATAAAGCAGAGGGGAGGAAACAAACCAGGCTGGGGAGATGGCTCAGGAGTTAAAGCACTTGCCTCACAAGCATGAGGACCAGAATTTGGATCCCCAGAACCTGGGGGCAGCCTGGTTATGATGTTGATGACAGGTGTTAATTCCCTAAACACCAATAAGATTATCAATACAAAAGATATATTTTAATGCCCCGCACTCTTCAAGTCTCAGTCTATAAAACATTTCTTGAGCTGGCTCAACAGAGGAAGGCACTTGCTACCAAGCCTGACCACTCAAATTTGATTATTGGGACCCACAACATAGGAGAGAATGAACTCTTGGAAGTTGTCCTCTGACCTCCACACACAAAAATGGCCTGTGCATGCCTATATAATGACACATATAATGTACACAAAATAAACATGAGAATGTGATAAAAATAAAATGGACAAATGAAAAACAAAACATTTCTCTTCTTAAGGGGTACCTAAGTAAAACATGTTGCTAACGAAATGTAACTTTAACAAAATATAACATAACCCTGAAGTTTTAATACAACTTAGAATTCTACTTACACTTTTATTAGATACAGTGGGATTTTCTGACAGAAGTTGGTGATGTTTTCTAGCAGAAGTTAAATCCAATGAACCTAAGAAACAAAGATATCAATGAGTACTATTTAGTTGTTTTTACTATGACTGACCCCAAAGCCTGTTTTGTGGTTAAACTCTAGCACTGAGCCACAGGTCCAATCTGAAGTAGTAGTGCATGCCTTTAAACTCTGCATTCAGGAGGCAGATTTCTATGAATTCAAGGCCAGCCTGGTATGCACAGTGAGTTCTAAGCCAGGCAGGACTTACAGGAAACCCTGTCTCAAAAACAAACAGATAGATATAAAAGCCTGGTTTAACAGAAGGCCTGCTATAGCATACCTCCAAAAAGCAGCAAGCATATTGCTGTTCTTGCACACACACATTCATTAATATGATCCTTAAAATATTCAGTACAATCTCACAGCTCTAAACAGATGATTTGTAAATACAGAAGCCATCAAAGACTGGAGCTACACATTTCTCCTATGCCAGATTGGGCAGCACTATCCAAAAAGAAGGTAGAACATTTGGTAACTATTAAGCAGATTATACAAGCTCACTATAGCCATCATGGGTGTGAACAAGAACAGGATGCAGAGATCACACCAAGAAGAAGCACAACAGGAAACATTTAAGTGTCCTTCACTCTACACACATTAGTAGACTGGCTATTTTCCCAGGAAACCAAGTTTCTTTTCAAACATCCGTACAAATCAGATTTGTATCTTACACCTGAGAATGTAAACACTCACTCCTCTAAATTTTGGGACTCCCACAGCCCAAACTAGATATGAAAATAAAGAGTAACGATTTACAAAAAAAAAAAAAAAACAAAAACAAAAACAAAAAAAAAACCTGGGTGGAATACTGCAACATTTGGAATCACATACCATATGACGTTCCATTTGAGCTAGTCCTCATTCCAACAGCAAGACGTTTATTTGCACACAATGCTGGAGGAACGCGGGGCAGCTCATCTTCCACCAAAGCCAAGCTACCCCTTTGGTTTGGGGAAACGACCTCTCGCAGTCTCCTCGCTGGCATTTTAACCCTTTTCCCCCTTTCCAAGCTAAACTCAAAGTTTTTCATATGGTTAGTCACAAAACAAGCCCCGTGGTTCTTGACAGAGGGACTTTCTTCTTTTGGGTTCATAGACTTGAGGACACAACACAGGGTCACCTCTTCGGAAAAGCAGCAAGGGAGGAAGTGGATTTGATAAGGAACTCCAAAAATGACTATGAAGCAGCCCTTAACTTAAAAAGAAAAAAAAAAAAAGACTAGAATGTCTTATGTACCCGTTATTCCCGCCGAGCCTGTTAATGCACCAAGGCAATAAACCTGAAGGGAACTGTTCTAACAAAGCGCTCCCGCAAACCCGGGGCTGCGCTGAAAACCCAAACAGACGTGGAGGCGGGGTTCAGGCTGGCTGCGGAGACCCAGCCGAGCAGGGGACGTTAAAATCCTGTTTGCACAACATCACCCTCGCACGAGCTTAATAGCGTTCTTCATCCGGGTCCAGACACCGTTCCGGACTCCCCGGTTTGGTCGATTTAGTCCACAGAGAGCCGGAAACACGCCGCCTCGTCCTGCAGTTTGACAACAGCTTCGGTTGTTCGCGGGTCAACACCCTCTTCCCCCCGGAGACTCAGCACGCATGCGCGCAGAGATCCAACCCGCCCACCGGAAATGGGCGCTCTGGCGCATTCTGGCGCTCTTCGGTTCGTGCCCGGGTGGAAACAAACCCCGAAACGTAAAAGACTTCAAAGAGATGTGACTTTATTTTCATTTTAAAGGCAGCATGCCGCTTTTTTCTTTTTTGGATACGATACTAGGTCTTTCTCGAGGATTGAAAAACTCTCGACCAACCCATATACAGCACTTCCGTTTATCCAGGGTTATTTACACTGTCGTAACTGTAGACCGTTAGAGACCTAGGGTTGAGTATATTAGGCTCCCTAGACACCTCGACAGATTCGGTTGCCGTGGAAAAGGAAATGAACGACACAGAGCACTGCCTAACAGATGATCACAAAAGTTAATTCTTAGGCGATTTTAGAAATCACTTGGGGTGCTGGCTTGGCAGCCTGCAGTTTCCCGGGCGTAACGAATCTGCGTCAGAGGGTCTACGCTCTGCTTGACATCATTGCCCCCACGTGTTCTCCGCTGTCCCGCGGCGCGGAGCCCTGGCTGGCCTGACCCTCGGCGTTCAGACTCTACGCGCGCCGCAGCCCCTCAGCCCGGTCCCGGTGTCGGATGCGAGAGCCCGTGGCTAAGTATGGTCGCTTTCGTCTGCCCTGAGCATCCCGGGCTCGCGGGCGGTGGGGCGGTGGGCTTCGCTCGGGGAAGGCGGCGGGCAGCCACGCCGGAGATGCCTCCGCGTGCACGCGGGGCGTGGGGCTGCGCAACCGGCGGCGCGGAGCGGCGGGAGGCCAGGCCGCCCCGGGCACCTCGTCACCCCGAGGGTGGGGACCCGAGGCCCCGGGACACCGTCTGCCCGGGACTGCAGGGCTCGGGGCTCGCCCTCGGTGACCTTGAGCTGTCAGACAGCCGCCCCTTTCCTGAAAATCTCCGGACTCCTCGGCTCCCGCCCTGTCTAAGAATACAGGGGCTCGCTCTGGTCAGAGCTTTCCCATTGCGCCTTGCTAGATAGAGGCTTTTGAAATAGATTAAGCAAAGCCAAGACAGTGTAAGATAAAAACGTAAGTAACCAATGTACGTTCCAACGAGTCTAGACTAAAAAAAAAAAAGTCTCACCTTTGAAGAACCTGTTATTTTATTGTTGCTACTTAATGAGTTTTGTATGTTACATTTTCTCTCTTATTGTCCATTAGGTATGTTGGTTCACGATTGTATAAATGTATTAGAAGACAGATTGACAATTAGGTTTAATATGTTGGTTCACAATTGTGCAAGTGTATTAAAAGACAAAGACCGTGTCAGATCTGCAAGAGACCTTAGAGATTAACTTCCATAATTTCTATATAAAATTTAGATATGAAAAAAAAAGACCTTACCCCTCTAATTTCAAAACTCTCAGCAACAGCAAAGTGACTTGAATAAATAATTTGAAATGGAATGTCAAATCTGGGGCTAAACCCAGAAGGCTTGTTCTCATCCTTTGATATTCAGGTTCCTGTCTTGGGGCCAAGCCAAGCTTTGGATCTGGAAAACAATATGAATTCTTTTTCAAGTGCTTTAAGTTCTGTAACACTGAGTTAAGAGTTGTCTGCTATTAAGGCTGGGTGTAATGGCAACCTTTGATCCTGCACTCTGGGAGGCAGAGGGAGTCCTATCTCTTGAGTTCCAGGATAGCCAAGTCGACACAGAGAGACCCTGTCTCAAAAGAAAAAAAAAATCCAAAACAAACAAAAAAGTTGCCTATTGGTCCCACAATTTATCTAACTAAACCTCCTGTACAAATAATCAGAAGGGTCTGTGGAAAAAATAAAATAATTTAGATACTTGAACTCGCCTTCCACTCTCCTTCCCCCTCTCTACCTCCCTCCGCTCCCCCTCACTGCCATCCATCCCTCTCCTCCACTCCCCTCTCACCCTCTTCCCTCCCCTCACGCCCCTCCCCCACGCCCCTCCCCCTCCTTGTATACATGTATAGATACACTTCATTACGGCATTTGGAAATTGGTTTCAGACGTCTTGAACTTTAGCCCTATTTGTTTCAGCCTGTGCCTCCTTAAGGACATTACACAAGTCTCAGAAGATTACCACACATAAGACCACATTTTGATTTTCTGAATTATCTAAAAAGTGTCATTATTGTTAGAATAGGGGCCTGCTGCCTTAATCCCTTCAAAGGCCAGATCCCAAGCTAGAAGTGATAGACATCCCATCCCACCTCTCCTCTCCCCTCCCCCTCCCCCTCTCCCTATCCCACTACATAGCCCTGACTGGAACTCAAAGAGCAAATCCCTCTCCCAAGTGCTGGGATTAAAGATGTGAGCCCCCATACCTGACAGGGCCCATTTTCTTAATAAGCCTCATTCCTGAAGGAATTGTGTTTCAGCTTTCTTTTTCATGGGCTGGCTGCTTCCCCAAAAAAAGAGACTCTTTCCTGATTGAGTATATAGTTACAGTTCAAACATTATGCTTAATTGCAGTGATTCTAACATCTCAACCTACATCAGCCATTCACTCTTCACAGCATTTTGAAAGTAAGATTTCCTTGTATGTGTGTGTGTACCGAGTGCTTGCCTAGTACCTGAGGAAGCCAGAGGAGAGTGTAGAATCCCTTGGAACTGCCAGTTGTGAGCTCTGTAGGTACTGGAAAGGAATCTGTTGCCAAAGCAACAGGCACTCTTAACCACTAAGCATCTCTTGCCCCTCCACATTTTTGAAGGCTAGTCCAGTTGTCTTCAGTTATCCCACAATGTGGATTCTCCTGATTACTCCCTCATGATCAGAGTATTTTTAGGCCAGAATGCCACTAAAGTAATGCTATGTTGTGTGCCTTAGGGTATCCCAGCAAGAAATTTTGCCTACTTTGTGTAATGGTGGTGACAGCCTGTCTTACCAATGAAAAGGGACAAGTTTCATAAATAACCTATAGAGTTATGTGAAGACCATAGGTATATCTTTTTCCCTAGCTTGTCCATTTGTGGGCATTGACTGAACCCCAATGGTTGTGAAGCACATTACCTGTTACTCAGGGATGAGAAGCAAATTGTAGTAGCCAAGGATAGCAGAAGACTCACTTGTAAATTAGATTTAAACCATATTAAGATTTAGTTGCAGAGCACATGAGGTAGGTCTGGCTTCAACATCTGCCACCCCATTGATCCCCAGGGTTGATTAGACTGATGTGGCTGGCTAGGTGGGTGTCCCCTTCCTCCCTCACTGCTCCATGTGCATCCCTCCCAAAGCTGCAAGCTTGGTCGAAGAGGACGGCCTTCCCTGAATAGAGGAGGACCAGTCTTTGGTCAAGGGTATACGAGTAGCTGCGCTCCCTTGCTAGAACCTCCAAACAAGCTCTCAAGATTTAGTTCTAGAGCTGATACAAATGTGTGTATAATATACAAAGAAATAGAATAACCATCTCCCTGTTTTTCCATTATTACTTTTCTTTTTTGTTTGTTTCTTTTCTCAAGACAGGATTTCTCTATATGGCTCTCCTGGTACTCATCTGTAGGCTAGCCTTGAAGTCAGAGATCCACCTACCTCTGCCTCCAGAGAGCTAAGAGCCCAAGTGCTTTATTCCCAAGGACTAAAGGCATGCACTACCGTACCTCCCTTGTTAACTACTTTCCAGTATTAAATTTCAGGAAATTGCAAGATGAAGAAACAAATTTCAGGGTGCTTGGTCACTCTCTTGATCTCCAAAAAATGAATTTCCTTTCTGAGATGGAAATTAAGTTAGGAAGAACAATGTATATTAGAGAAGAAATAACAAGCTGGGTATGGTGGTACATACCTATACTCTCAGCCTGGGCTACATAGAACATTCTAGGACATGTCTCAAAAAGCACAACACAATTAATTATAGACATAATAAATGTGAGGATGTAGTCAAAATCAAAAGAGCTTATCACATTGGGCTATTTGGACAGTGTTTTAGTTTATTGGCTGTGTCATAACAGGTGTTATAAAGTAATGGGGAAAATCCTGGGTTTTATAGTCCGGATGCCTCAGGTGGTCCCAGTTCTAGTTAATCTGAAAGTGAATTTAGTGTTTGAACTATTATCTTTCTTAGAGTTAGAAGAATCAGAAGAAAAGTTTAAGGTTAGCATAACATTGTTTTTTTTTAAATATGCTAATGGGCTATAAACTTCAGACTAAACTAATTTGGCTTAGTAAAAAGGTAAAGGGGCCTGCAGATGTAACTCAGTACAGAACACTTGCTAGCGTGCACCTGGCTCTGGTTTGCCTATGCCCACAAGGGGAAACCTGATTGATCCTGTCATTCAGTCTGATAATAAAAATGAGGCTTTAAAATAAATTAACTGTAGGGTGTGTGGTGCACATCTAGAACCAACAGTTGTCCTCCTGTTTGCATATACACTAAGATAAATGAAGGCAAGCTTTAAAATAGTTTCAGCCATGCAGAAGCTGAGCAGGTAAAGTTGTTTGCTGCACTAGAGAAGCAGAAGCAGGCAGGTCTCTGAATACAAGGCTATCCTGGTATACATTGAGAGACTTTGTCTCAGAAACAAAACCAGCTGGGTGTTGGTGCTGCACACCTTTAGTCCCAGCACTCGGGAGGCAGAGGCAGGCGGATTTCTGTGAGTTCTTGGCCAGCCTGGTCTACAGAGCTAGTTCCAGGACAGGTTCCAAAACAATACAGGGAAACCCTGTCTCAAAAAAACCAAAGAGAGAGAGAGAGAGAAAAGAATCCAAAAACCAAAATTAGCCAACAGAAATTCAGGTTTCCCTAAAAAGAAGAGCCTTCTGCAGTCATATAATAAATGCATTCAATTTTCAGGGAAGAAATCCATCCTCACTGAAGACATTCAAGCAAAAGGCGGGGCAGTTGATTTTCCAGAGCAGAAAGGAAACTCATGCATCAGAAAAGGTTTGCTCCTGATGGACCATAAAGTCTGCCTTTACTCTTAAGTTCTTACTTCTATGAGATTTTGTTAGCCACAAAACTAATGCTTGCTATAGTCATTCTCAGACCTAAGTGAAAGCTGTCCACTCTCTCCAGATTACTGAGGGATAACCAGAGAGTAACCCTGTCTTAGTATTTGCCTCTACAATAACAAGCTATTTGAAGTGATCTCTGGAAATCAGGATCAAATAAAGAGCAAACACTTGGAGAAGCCAGGCAGATCCTCTGGGATGGGAGCACCAGGTGCCTATGAGCAGCCTGGTAGCATGGGTGTTGGGAGCTGAACTCTGGTCACCTGGAAGAGCTGCAAATACTCTTAGTTTCAGAGCATTCCTCTAGCCTCTTTACTCTGAGATTATTACTGGCTCACATGGAGGTGTAACATTAGAGATCATGGATGCCCTTATCTAGCTTTGCACAAGAGTAACATCTTAGAAAGTTAAAGTGCAGTGTCACCTAGGATACAGATGCTAATATAGTCAAGATACAGTGCATTTCTATTTCATAGATCTCCCATGTACCAATACCCACTCCCCTTCTACCCCCTTCCTTCTGTAGCCTATTGCAACTACTACTGTGTTCTGCATTCATGTAATTGTCATTCTAAGACTGTTGCAGCCAGGCATAGTGGTGCATGCCTTTATCTCAGAACTCAGTCAGAAACAGGGAGAATCTGAGTTTGAGGCCAGACTACTGCTCTACATAGTGACTTCCCATCCAATCAGCACTATATGTTGAGACCCTGTCTCAAAAAAAGAAAGACAAGAATCTTTCATAAAGCCATACACTGTGTAATCTTTTAGAATTGATTTTTTTCTTTCCGTTGATTATTGATTACTATGTGAACATTTTTAAACCAGGTAAATTTATTCCTCCAAATTTAGTTTTTATTTAGCTACTATAGTCCTTTTAGTTAGCATCATCTTACTTCCTGCTGAGGTCTTAGTAAGACTTGCATTGTGTTTTATTAGTTTTGGGAAAATTGACATTCTTTTAGTCTATGAACATAAAACCTTTTTTTTTTTTAATTAAAAAGTTTTTGTTTTCATATAATGTACTTTTATCATTTTCCCCTCCCAAAACTACTCCAGATCCTCCTTACCTCCTTAACCCATCCATCCAATTTTATATTCCTTCTCTCCCACAAAACCAAAATAAAAACAGAGGCAAGCAAAGAAAAAAAAGCCAAAACCAAGAGAAAAAAAGGCCCACAAAAGTGTTATTAAATTTATTTATTTATTGTAACTACTACCTCTCCATTTTTTTGTTTTGTTTTTATGTTTTTCTGTATAGTTTTTAAGATCTAAATGTTATGCATGATTTGATAGGTTGACTTCTGAATCATTCTGGAAGGGAATAATGGTTAATTGGTGTTACCTTTACTTCTATTGTTCATGTGCTTGTTGCTAGTACGTAGAAACGCAGTTTGGTTTTTGTGTGTCACTAAGACCTTGCTGGGCTCCCATATTGGTTCTCGGGGTTCTTCGTAGCTTGTTTGGGAGTTTGTGTCATCTCAGATCGGGATAGGTCTGTGTCCCCGCTTTATGTCTTATGTTTCCCTTTCTAGCTCCGCTGCACTTAGTAATGTTCGCCTTGTATATCTTTGTCTACTGCCTTTTACAACAAGGTCTCAAGAAGCCCAGTCTGACCTTGAACATCTTACAAGATGCAAGCATGCAGCTGAGTGTTAGGAGTAATCCCTGCCTCCACTCCATCTCCCAAATGCTGGGATTACTCCTAACACTCAGCTGCATGCTTGCATCTTACTAACAAGTAATGTCTTCCATGGAGAATGTGGGTTGAATTCTTACCGAGTTTTTTTTAATAACCCCCAGCACTTGGGAAGCCAAGGCAGAAGGATATGGGTTTCAGGCAAGCCTTGTCTTGAGGAAAACAATATATCAAGGAAAAAAAAAAAACATCTTTGGGGAAGGAGTATAATTTATATTAATGTAGAGGTCATTGAGTCTGCTCTACAAGGTTCACTCACCTGCTTGAATTTGTAAGTTTCTGTCCTTGCCCAGAAACCAGGGTTCCTATCAGTCATCATGTATCTCCCTGGCTAAGGGGCTAACATTCCTCATTATCACTCCCTGGGTGGCCTCTCCTAGCACCACAGGAGATGGGGAGAAGGGCAGGAATGCTAACCCTGCATCTCCACCAGGCCTTATGGTAGTACCATAGAGAAGACCAAGGCAGGACCTTGGTCCTGCCAGCCTCTTATAAGGTTTTTCTGCTGACATGTAGTAGGTCTTATCCCTGCTGATGGAAATAAACCCTGTTCTCAGCCTTCTCTTGACACCACTCTAGTACCAGTGTCAGAGTAGCTCATTGCAGCCTCTGGAGGGTTGAGTCTAGGCTTCCTGTTTGACTTAAGCTCATGATGATAGGGATATGGGCCATTGGAATTTTTGTTTTCCTTTTTAATGGTGATGTTTGGACGGACGGACGGACAGACGGACGGACAGACGGATGGATGTCTTATCATTTGCTAGTATTTTGGTTATACTAGGCTTTGGGGAGAGTCTTGTTTTTTCCTGATCCCATTTGAAGGCTGCCAGCTTCTCCAGTCTATAACAGAAAGCATACAAAGAATTCATCCCCGTTTCTTAGATCCTAAGGCCCCTAGCCAGTCTGGCTCACTACCACTGTCTTCTTAGATTTCCCTTATATGTGATGCCTGACTGCCCAGCTGTGTGTAGAGAGTGGAGGATAAGAGAAAGCACATCTGCAGAGTGGTGGATGGTGTTTGTCGAAGTCTGCTGCTTTGGCTGGTCAGTGGCACACAACACCTGTGACGTTGCAGTCCTGTTCTACTTTGTATTGTTAAGGAAGGCACCCTCTGAAGTAAACAGAAATCACTTCAGAAAAAGCTGGGCTGTAACATGTAGAATGAGACCTGAATAGCAAGTTCAGAAGATCTAATGATTTCCCTTAGGCATGACTTTGTAAAAATGTCAGTAGTTATAACTAACATCTTAGGAAGGGAAAAAGGAGCGAAAATCGGTGCTGGTGTGGTACACTCATGGTCATGAGTGGAGTTATCGTGTGTTAGGTGATTTAATCAAAATGAGTCTCCTGGGGCTGAAGAGAAGGTTCAGGGGTTAAGACTACTTGTTATTCTTTGAGAGAATCCAAGTTCAGCTGGGAGCACCCACATCCTAACTCTGCTCTCTATAACTGTCCTACTTAGTTTCAACTCCATGTAAGAAGATGTAAATCCTGTAACTTTGTTTGAGAACTTTGAGTATCTTTCATGAGCCAGTGTTGACTTAATTGTAAATAAGATCTGGTAAAATCAGTTGTCAACAATTGATAGAACCTTTGTAATACATAGGTTAGTAGCACAGATTAGAGTTAAACTGACAACCAATAAGAATTTCCTTGGTTTCCCTAAATCCCTACTATGAAGGGGCTTTAGTAAGTAGTTTTTCAAGACAGTAGAACACTGTCTTACAATTGGAGATGTGACTGACACGGGGCCTGTTAGTTCCATAGCTAGCATTAAAAAACATGTTGGGGCCAGGGAGATGGCTCAGCAGTTAAGAGCACTGGCTGTTATTCCAGAGGACCCAGGTTCAATCACTAGCACCCACATGATAGCTCACAACTGTCTGTAACTCCAGTTCCAGGGGACCTGACACCCTCATACAAACATACATGCAGGCAAAAACACTAATGCATGTGAAAAAAAAAAAAACAAAATACGTTATTAGAATGTGAGATTATGGTTTATGACTATATACAGTTAGGAATTTATAAAATACAGCTATTTAACTCTTGGGTAACTTAAAAATACATTTATAAATTGACAAGTTTTTTTTTGTTTGTTTGTTTTGGTTTGGTTTTTTTAGGTGATTAATAAACATACTGAAAGAATATGGCTGCACAGATACCAGAATCTGACCAGATAAAACAGGTAAGATACTATAATTAAGAGAAAGGATCTTGGGCAGGCATGGTGGTGCACACATTTAATCCCAACACTCAGGAGACAGAGTCAAGCTGATCTCTCTGAGTTCAATGCCAGCCTGGTCTACATACTGAATTCAAGGACAACAAGGCTATGTAGAGACACTATCTCAAAGGGTAATGGGGGTGGACCAGCCTAAGCTACATGATTGTAGGTGGAATTATCATGAGTAAATATTTACTCAAAACAAAGAATATATGAGTGTAGCATTTATGCCCCCAAACCATATTTTAAAACATTAAAATATAGTTAGATGACATAAAGCATTTCCTGTTCTGCTTTTGAGGCTACAAAAGTACCTTGTTAAGTTGTTAAGTTTGGCTCTGAGCCTTTAGACTCAAGTGGTCCTCCACCTCAGCCCCTTAAGTAGGCAGGGTTTCAGCCATCACTCCACTGTAACTGGCTGTAAAACTATGTATTGGACCAACAGGTGAGCAGAAAAGTACAAGTAGAAAGTAAGACCAAATGTTGTACATTAAAGCTACTTAAAAGTTGGCAAAAGAATCTAAATGGAGGAGGAGGGAAAGCAAAGGGTATACAGGGGTAGTTTATCTGAATATCATTAAGTTTCAAAGCATCTTGGCTGTAAAGCCCGGGTATTAAAACACTTCTTATTGTAGTTTAAGGAGTTCCTGGGAACCTACAATAGACTTACAGAAAACTGCTTTTTGGACTGTGTTAAAGACTTCACAACGAGAGAGGTGAAACCTGAAGAGGTATGAAAAGTGTCGCTCACTAAAACTTCCCCAAGGTTGTCATAAACCACAGATTCCATCTAAGCATTTCATTTGCTGCTACTGACTGGGCTGCCATTTACATGCCATTGCTTAGAGGGACCAAATCAGTCATGAACCAAGATGTATGATGCCAAGGTGAACTTGATGGTCACCCTGCATCAAGGCAGACGCGTTATGGACCAAATGTGGAATGGCTGAGGTGCAGTTCCACACAAATGTTAAGTATTTCTAGTCCATTCTAGTCAAGATGGCAAGTGACAAAGAAGCTTGGCGCACAAGCTCTGGTCTGGCCCTAAGAATTTAGATGGCCTGTAGAAAAGTGAAGTGTGAATGTGGTGGCACATAATGCATAATAGACTAAAACCCGATCCTAGAGCCTTTGATCCCAGCACTCTGGAGGCAGAGACAGGCACATCTCTGAGTTCGAGGCCAGCCTGGTCTACAGAGCAAGTTCCAGGAGGGTCAGGGCTACACAGAGAAACTCTTTTGGGGGAGGAGAGGGCACACCAATCCTAATTGACATCTCAACTTTTGGTGTCTTTATTAAGATGTTTATATATCTGCTGAGAATGAAAAACTCCTTCCTGTTGACATGTCAATAAATATTCATGCCAAAAGCTAATTTGTTAGATAATTTAACTTGAAGTTTAGGAGGAATGCCAGTATGATATTCATTTTTTAAAAGAATATGTTTTAGCTATTCCTTGACAATTTCATCTATAGCAATATAAGTTACATATTAAATAACACTAAGTGGAATTTTTTTATATTATTTTAAGCAGGGAAGGGGGATAATTAAGGTTGTAAAACCCCTTCCCATAACAAAATATTTTAGAGTTCCTTTTTCAAAATGGAACAGATATACTCAGTGACCAGTCATGCTAAGTTCCCACTGCACAGGTGATCATTGGAACTGAAAAACAAACCCAACTTTCAGTCTCTGCCTCAGGAGTAACACAAGCCAGATTCTTTCCCAATCCAAAAGTTCAAGTTCCAGAAACTTGAACTCAGATCCACCACAAAAAAATAAATAAATAAATATGACAGGTTAAAACTAGGAGAAAAAATATCTTTATCATCCCCTTTCATGACTGAGATGTGTCTTTTTGCCCACAATCCTTCCTTATCACCGAAGGTTACCTTCTCTTGGTCTCCTTTGTGACTTTTTGTACTTTACCTGCATTTATGCCCATTTGCATATACTATACATGTGTAGGTTATAGTATAGGATTTGCATGTGAGGGAGAACCTAAAAGATTCATTCTCTTTGAGTTTGGGTCACCTCAGTTGATATTTAAAAGGGTTGAAAGTGGGTAAGGTTAAGCATGCTTGGAACCCTAGCATTTGGGAGGCTAAGGCAGAAGATTCTAGGATTTCAGGCTGGTCCTGACTGCATAAGACCTTGTTCAAGAGAACAGTAAAGGGTGTGAATTAAGGATATGCAAAAACAAGTTTCTCATTTTAAAAAACCTTCTACTAGCTGTACATTTATCAGTCTAATTCAGAAGGTAGGGTTGTGGGCCTTGACTTAATAGAAAATCTGGCCCAGACCTTTCATGAAAGCAGAACACACTGTTGCTTCTGATACTTATAGACTAGTAGGGATTTCATAAACTTTAACTGTAGCCAGTGGATGAAAGCATAAAGAGTTTAAAGCTATGATTATTTCAAGCCAAGGATAGCATGTGTTTTGCAGACCTACCTTAAGAAAAGTGAAGTTCCCAGTGGTGACTCTTCAGAGTACAAGAATGTTTATTTCTGTGTTGCCTTTTGGACCTTCCCCTTGTATTTCTAGGTTACCTGTTCAGAACATTGCTTACAGAAATATTTAAAAATGACACAGAGAATATCCATGAGATTTCAGGAATATCATATTCAGCAGAATGAAGCCCTGGCAGCCAAAGCAGGACTCCTGGGCCAGCCCCGGTAGAGAAGTCCCCCAGGCACAGACTTGCACTGAGAGATTGCCAACAGCTGTTGCACTGGAAATGAGGGTTAACCTGGGAGGACCCCTGAAGCCCAGCAGGAGTGGTGGTAAGCCATCTGTCATGACTGCCTGACCAGTGGGAACCACTGGAGAAACAAAAACCACTCTTCACCAGAAAGAACCAGAACAGGCCTTACTGTTGAGTGAAAGTGATAAGATACAACGTTGTTGAGGCCTTAAGATTCAGCTGCGTGATCACCTTGATTTCAAAAATAAACCACTGTTCCTTTCTTTGTGACTGTTAATTTTAAAAGCAGAACATGTGTCCAATCATGTATGAGATAGAAAAACTTTATTACTAAAAGTAAAATAAATGAAAATATCACTGAGCGGTTGTTTTTACTGTACAGACTATGGTATAGAACATGGTATTCTGTCTGGGTTGGGATACGCTGAGATGTTTCAGTCAGGATCATCCTTCAAGGATTTCTGTTCATGTATGTCTGCCTCGAGTTGCTGGTAAATATACAAAACAGTTACTGATCATTTCAAGGCACGAGTATTTTTTCCTTGTTTCTCTTGTCACATTAGATATTACACATTCTTATCTTAGCTGTAGCTCAGAAGTGTTTATGACCATCATGCTCTAATACAGTCTTACTGTTTATTTAAAAACTGGGAGTCTGGGGGTCCATGAGCTCCCCCTTGTTCACGAAAGGACTTTGGGGGCACATTCCCCATGGAGGGATAGTCCCTTAGCCTAGAGGCAGGAGGGAGGGCCTAGTCTCTATTCCAAATGACTTGGCAGATTTTGATGATCCCTCCTGGAAGGTATCACCCTCCCTATGGGGGGAGGAGGGGATGGCATGGGAGGGAGATGGAACTGGGAATTATATATAAAATAAAAAATAATGAATATATAAAAGAAAAAACTGCCGAGTCCAGACTAATGAGGACTCAGCAGCTAAAGGCACTTGATTCCAAGCCTGACAACCTGAGTTCCATCAGCAGCAACTAACTTACCCAGTTGCCTCCTGCCCTCCACACGGTACCATGGTGCCTGTGTGTATGCACATACATACATACACACACACACACTCCAATGAATGCTTTTAAGTGTAAATAATAACATACAGCTAATGTAACTGGTTGAGTAAAAGGAACCAGAGTTAAATTTGTATCTGTGGCTAATAAGTTCTGAAGCACTTTAAAGCATTTGCAGAAAATTCTAGCTGGTAAGTGTAAGTACTTTGTTTTTTAACCAAACTGGCAAAAGGAAGAGCTTCTAAATGGACTTTATTTGCTACCAACCTAAAGTCACATTGCAAAATACTGTTAGCCTGTATGTTTAAGTTCACAAAGCTATTTCTGTGTTTTGTCACATTAGTCAGAAGTACCATTGTGCTTTAAGATTGAAATGTTAAAACCATAATAAAGTACACAGTTCATTGTAGTAGAACACAGAAACTAAGCTCGTCTTACCTTAATCAAAGAGTAGAACCAGAAATAGATAAGATACTGTGTGAGAACCTTGGAATTTACATCCAGTCATCATTTCTCTGTAATCAAGTCCCTCATGGTTATGGAATGTTTCACAAGGATAATTAAATACATGCTCACCTGGCAGATAAGGGGAATTTTGTACAATAGCATCTGAAATACCTCAGGAGGGAGTGTTTGTTTGAAAAATGTCAAAAGCTCCTTCGGTTGCCCACACACTAAAAGGGCATTGGTGAGATGTTCAACTCCCATTCCACGCTCTCCTGAAACAGATTGGTGCATGTTAAGTAAGAAAAAGAAGTGAAAGGGTTATGTTTTTAGTAACTGTGTGTGGGGAGGTGTCTATGAGTGTGTATGTACACAAGTACAGTGCCTGTAGTGGCCAGAAAAGAAGTCCGATTCCCTGGAACTAGAGTTTTGTTTATGGTAGGGTCTCTATGAAGTCCTGGCTTGCCATGTAGACCAACATGGCTACCTTCAAACTCATAGAGATCCTGCCTCTGTCTCCTGAGTGTTAGGGTTAAAAGTGTGTGTCACCACCCCCATCCTTCTGGAACTGGGGTTACAGATGGTTGTGAGGCACCTGATGTGAATTTTGGGAATAGAACTGGGGCCTCTCCTGTCTGTAACTAGTGTTCTGTCTATAAGAGGAGAACAATAGGAGCTCTTACTGCTGAGCCAACTCCACACCACACACAAAAAATTGTAATATTCTTTAAAATGTATATACAAATTACCAAGAAAGCAGTAAGCATTAAAAAGTAAATACATTATCAGCTGTGTGGTGGCACACCCCTTTAGTCCCTACAGAGGCAGGTGGATATCTTGACTTCGAGGCCAGCCTGGCCTATAGAACAAGTTCTAGGACAAGTTCAGGACTGTTAAACAGATAAACCGTGTCTCTAAAATCCTAAAAAACCCAATGACTATGATGAGTAAAGAACACAAGTGTGAGGGAGAAGGCTTGGCTTCATGTGAAGCTGCAAGACGAATAATTTTATGAGCGATTACACAAGTTTACTCATTTTTAGATGTGCACACTTGCATTGGGAATATTATGCGTTGGGGCATGGAGGGTAGCCATGCAAGGTTTTTTTAGTCTTGTAGTCTTTATTAATGTGAGGTAGACTGTCCATGTTTGCTTGGTAAATTATGAGAGATGAAACATTGGATGTGGTTCATTTTTTAAAATATGTATTTATTTGATGTATATGAGTGTTTTATCTGCATGTGTGTTTGCAGTATATACATGCATGCATGCATGGTGTCAACAGAAGCCAAAAGAGGACACTGCATTCCCCTGGGACTGGATGGAGTTAGATGGTTGGGAGCCATCCTGTGGGGGGGCTGGAACCTGAGTTCTCTGAAGAGCTCCTAACCGCTGAGCCATCAGCCCTGTTTTGGTTTGTCTTGAGACAGGGTCTCAGCATGGAAGCCTGGCTGGCCTGGGACTCAACTATGTCAGGCTGGAGTCGAACTCCCACCTCTGTGGTTACACTTAATAAGCTGCATTATCAAAGCTCCAAACAAGACTTAATATAACTTGAATTACACATTCTGATGGGGGGGAAAAAAAGACATAAGCCACTTTTGAGAAGGAAAAAACCCACGTTGGCATTTTTGTTCTAATCATTCCCAAATTTGTGCCTTACTCAAGAGTAAGCTTAAGCTATTATGTGATAGTTCTTTGGGATAAAATGTAATAAAATGCATAGTTTTGTGTTAGCACCAGGGATAAGTTCTAAAAAAAGAAAAAAATCCATCAGTTCTGAGGTGTCATTAGATGATTTCATTGTCATGTGAACACTGAAGAATGTACATAGTATAGCCTACTGCATGCCTAGGTCATATAGTGTACATTCACACATGCAGTCAGCCATCAACAGAAACAGCCTGACATTTTTCCCTTTTGACTTAAAAGGGAATTACAATTCAAACTTTAATTCCTCATATCATCAATAAAGGTTAAATTGAAAAGTTTTGTCCATTTAAATTTCTCCATGTCCAGGAAGGATCCAGGTGGTTCTATGTGAATGTCTCACCCCTATGCAGTATCAGGATTTGAACTCAAGTCCCACCAGTGAGCTACACTGCTGGCACATGCACAGACAGCAATTACCCTACATTTTATGAGCCCCCTGGTTTATACAATTTGAGGAATCCTGTTTAGGAAAAGTACATAAAATTATGAATTAAAAAAAAATTGCAGGGGCTGGAGAGATGGCTCAGAGGTTAACAGCAGTGGCTTCTATTCCTGAAGACCCAGGTTCAATTTCCAGCACCCACATGGCAGCTCTCAACTATTTGTAACTAATTCCAGGGGATCCAACACCCTCATACAGATGTACATGCTGGCAAAACACCAACCAGTACACATAAAATTTTCAAAATTAAAAAGTATCAGATACCAAAAGCAAAATGCAATATTGAAAAAATTTAAATTTATCAAGACTAATGTAAAATAGTTTGAAGAGCTTTATTCCCCCCACACACACCAAATTTTTTTTTCTGTTTTCAAGCTGTATAATAATCGTGGACACTGTTAAAGGTTGTGTAGGCTCTTTATTCCTCTTTTTGTTTAGAAAGATATGAGTGTTTTGCCTGCATGTATGTATGTACATGTATCACATGCGTGCAGGGTCCAGTAAGGTCAGAAGAGGGTAGTGGATCCTGTTATGTAGTTCTGGGTGGTTGTGAGCCACCACATGGGAGCTGGGAACTAAACCTGGGTCCCCTGCAAAAGCAGTGAGTACTCTTAATCACTGAGCCATCTTTCTGGCCCCTTCCTCTGTTTTTATAAGTCCTAGATAATACCATCCACTTACATATGCACTAATACACAAGATCTTCTGAGAAAAAGGGTGTGGGAGTGGCTAGTGGCTCGTGCCTTTAATCATCTGCAAAGGCAGGTGGATCTCTGAGTTCCAGAACAGCACAGAGGAACCTTGGGGGTGGGGGTGGACAGAGAGAGAGTATATAGGTTGTTCTCCAGTTTCACACATAAAATATTATAAACTAAATATAATCAAAAGAATTTTTAAAAGTAAAAAACAGGAACTGTAGGGCTAGAGAGGTGGCTCAGTACTTAAGGGCACTGGCTACTCTACCAGACGACCTGGGTTCAATGACCAGCACCTACATAGTGGCTCACAACCTTCTGTAACTCCAATTCCAGGAGATCTGACTCCCCCTTCTAGCCTTTGAGAGCACTACATGATGTGATGCACAGACTTAGAAGTAAATTAAAAAGAAAAAACAGGCAGTGGTGGCACATGCCTTTAATCCCAGCACTGGGAAGCAGAGGCCAGCCTTGTCTGCACAGCGAGTTTCGGGACAGCCAGAGCTGTTACACAGAGAAACCCTGTCTCGGGGAATTAAAAAAAAAAAGGAAAACAGGTGATGTGATAAGCAGGAAGCTTGCAACACCTGAGGAGAATACGTTTTACTTAGTAAGTATGATGCCTACTCTCCATCACTATCCCTGTCTAGATCCCAGCAGGCTCGCACTATCCCTATCTAGATCCCAGCAGGCTCTTTTCCCTGGTAGTACCCAGCACCGGCATCAAGACACCATTACTACATACAATGTTTGTACAGAGCTCATATCACTACTCTCATTTTAACAATGCTGTGAGGTGCTTCTAGAATTAGGTGAAAGTTCAAACACATGTGGTCATGAAGTATAGGCCTCTACTGGCCCCACATTAAACAGTACAATGACCATTTGTAATGATTTTTATCATTAAATGTGTTTAGAATATTCAAATCAGAAAAAAAATGGTTTTGTGCTTTTTTTTTTTTTTTTTTTTTTTTTTTTTTTGAGATGTTTCTCTTTCTATGTAGACCTGGCTATCCAGGTAGATCAGCTTGTCCTTGAACTCAGAGAAATCCACCTGTCTCTGCCTCCCAAATGAGGGATAAAAGACATGTGCCACCATACCTGGCAGGAAATTTTTTTTATAATGCATTTTAGGTGGTTTTTTTTTTTTTTGAAAGACATTCTGTAGCCCAGGCTAGCCTCAAATTCACAGGTGTTTCGACTCTGCCTCTTGAGTTCTGAGATTACAAGTATGTGCTACCATACTCAGGTTAAAAGTTTTGATTCTTAATATTTGATAATTTAGGAATTTCACTTACTGAGATTTTTAAATGAAGTCCAACTAATTGGTATAGGCCTTTGTTTCCCTATTACCCTGCTTCAAAGACAAAGATCCCACATAGCAATGCCAACTCCAACACAGGGGTGGGGACAGTAGCACCAAGTCAAGATCCGGAGACAGCTTCTTCTAAGTGAAGTGAGTCGGCCACCACACCCAGCTAATTCACCTGGTATTATTAACCAGTGTTTCCTTTTTACTTTCTCTATGTAATACTCCAGACAAGGCTCAAACTCAACCCACCTGCCTCTGCCTCCCAAGTACTCCCAAGTTTATAAGCATATGTCACCATGCTTTGACCAATCAAATAGTTTTTGAAGAAAAATGATTTAAAATTTACAAAATACCCAGGTGTGGTGGTGCATGTCCTTAATCCCAACACTCAGAAGCAGAGACAGTCAGATCTCTGTGAGTTTGAGGCCAGCTTGTCTACAAAGTGAGTTCCAGGACAGACGGGTACCTAGTGAAACCCTGCTCGGAAAACAAAACAAACAAAAACCCCATAGAAAAGAATGCTTTTATTCTTACCTCTAGCTAAACAAAGTTTTCCCATTTGCACCTCTTGCAAAAAAAATTCTTGTAGTCTTTCCTTCTTTGCTGGATCCCATGACTAAAGGATTTATAAATATAAATAATGAGTAATGAATATAAGCTATATGTTTACTGTCAAAATAAACTTTTATTTTTAAATTACCTCTTAACAAATAAATGCACACATTTAAAAAGAAGGGCCTCAGGTCAGGCTGGTGGACATATCTGTATTCTCAGCACTTGAGGCAAAGGTAGTGGACAGAGCATTGTTTAGAATGGTTCAGACCAGCCAGGACTACAAGATGTTCTATCTCAAAGATGAAGTGCATAAAAGGCAACTCTTAAATCTGATCTCTAGATCCAATGGATGACACGTGTTCCTCTCATTCCAGGGGACAAGAAAAAAGCATGGTATCAGCTATGCTGAGAGGCTTGCAGTAACCCTGGTCTATTGTGATAGCCCCGCCTTTAGTAGTCGACCTTGGTATTGACTCAATGATGGTAGCTTTGTTAGTTGTTGGATCATTTTCTGTCTGGGTTAGTTAGTGGCAGTGCCTGTTAATTTAGCAGTAGTGATTTTCTAGACTGTGGGGTCATTTTTGTCATTTGCTTCTAAATCCTAACCAATAAGCTAACATAAGGCTTCTATACTCACACATTCTCTCAGAAAGAGGGGCAAAGCACATGGTTGGGGGTAGGGTGGCATGGTGGCTGGTGACGGGACTAGAACTCTTTGATCTGCTGCAGCCTGTTTCAGGACAGCAGCCAAGGCCACAGATGACATCATCAAGGCTACTATGCCTAGGGCTGGTCTTTCTTGCAGGCCTGAGAAAGGATCATCTTAGGTCAGTTCACACAGGAAGCATTAGTGAAAATGGGTTTTACAGAGTACAGGTCCAGAGACAGTGGAATGCGGACCCCTGAGTTCAACCTCTCCCCACAGTCTAGAAAAGGATTGAGAGCACATCCTACACCAAGTCTAATGTCCTTTGGAGCTCAGGGTAAGAAACATGACTTGGGTGGAGAATTGGGGACGGTTCCCCTGAAAAGAGCACTTGAGATAATGAACACATAAGCAATACAAAATTTCAGGGAAGCAATCGGGTCATCTTTAGATTATACTGGAATGAATATAATTATTAACAACCAGTTACTGAAGGCCAGCTGTGGAATAGGACCTTTGCATATATTATTAGTCACACTTAGGATGATAGGCAGTTAAACAGAAGGTGGTGTGCCAGGGTGCAGCTGGCTTTTCATTTGCAAGACAGGAAATCCAAAGTAAGTATGGGAGAAATGGAAATGAGAATGAATGGGGTATGAGGTAAAACACAGAAAAATAAGAATATAATAGTGACTATGGGAGATGAGGTGGTGATTGTTCCAGGACAAGCTCGAAAAGCTACACAGAGAAACCATCTCAAAAAACCATAAATAAACAAATAAAATTTTTAAAGTTAAAAAAATGTTCTACATCTGGATCCCTCAGCCAGGCTTCTACCCAAGCCTTCTCTGATTCTATTCCTGCTTAGCTCAACTTTACCAGACACTGTTCTTCAACGTGATTCCTTTGCCAAAATGACCTATTGCATCCCTATGCAAGTGCAGCATCTTCAGTTCTAAAGGCTTCCCTGATACTATGCCACAAATTCAATATTATTCCTCATTCAGATCAGCAACAACCCCAAAGCTTTTCATAGAAAAATTGCATTTCCCAAAAACAGTCACAGCAGCATTACTGTGTCTCTCTGTCATGAGCTGGAGTCTATCTCCTCTCTGCTTGAAATGGAGCAGTCCTAAGGACCGTGAGAAGAGCCATTGCCTGGCATTCTCCTGTCTCTGCCTATACTCCAACACTGCTCCTCTTTGTGTTCAGTGCATATGGAGTATCTGTACCTCCCTGCTTACCCCTGGGCACCCAAACCAGTTCCACTAGCTGGACACCCAGAATCAACTGGCAAATGTGAAGAAACATGATTTCGGATGACTGGCTCACAATATCGCCCCGGAGGCTGCCTCACTGAAGCCGAGTCGAGCAAAGGTGTCAGTCCCCACCCTAGCCTGCTCAAACTACAGCATATTCAGAAGCCAAGAATTATTTTACGGACAATAATAAACTTAGCCAAAAGGAATAGCTGCCGTACTGATTCCACACAGAAAATGCTGACTTTCTCTAGGATCTTGTTACATGTGTTGGCTTTGTTCACTGCCTTGCTCTGGGGTTATTCTTACACCCCTGTTATTGATATCTCTGCCAGACCTATCTTAGTGCCTCACCCATAATCAGACCTTAAGTAGGCACAGGCTGATCACCTGAACCGTGGAAAGGTATTCTTGCCCTTTTGAGCTCACGGGAGCTAACTAGAGCTGAGCTAATAACCAAGATGACCGAGTTCTCTTTTAAAAGTATTAATGGGGACAGCGCTAAAGAGATAGCTCCATGGTTAAGAACACTGGCTTCTTCTATAGGACCAAGGTCCACAAGGCAACTCATGACCTCCTGTAATTCCAGTCCCAGGGGATCACACATCCTAGTCTGACCCCCACAGGCAACAGATATGCAGGTTGTGAACAGACATACATGGCAGGAAAAACACCCATATGAACTAAAATAAAAGGATGAAATAAATAAATAAAATGACTCATCCAGGACAGTGGAATGGCTCAGCAGTTAGCGCTTTCCACCAAGCCTGACCACCTGGGACCCAATGGTAGGAGAGAACGGACACCCTCAGATTGTCTTCTGACCTTCACACATGGGCCATCCTCACCCTGTCTAAAAACATAACAAAAACCATAGAAACTCAGCTAATCAAGTCAATCCTATCCCTTGTTGGCCCCCCTGGGGATCTGTGTATCCTGTGAGGAGACGTGGAAAGGTGCATGTTTCTTTTTCTTCCAAGTAAAAAAAAAAAAAAAGTGCCTGTTCCTACCATTTGCACTTTACAGACGCCTTTTTTTTTTTTTTTTTTTGAATAGTGTTTTGTTTGGCTCAGGCTAACCTCGAACTCCTTCTTCCTGACTCAGCCTCCCAAGTGCTGATCCTGCACATGTGTGTATGAAGCCCTGTTCATACAGGAAGGAAGGAAGAAGGAAGCAAGGAAGGAAGGGAGGGAGGGAGGGAGGGAGGGAGGGAGGGAGGGAGGAAGGAAGGAAGGAAAAAGCAAACAAAAAACCACCTTATTTTGTACGTGCATTTTGCTAGTATGTATATCTGTAACCATGCACATTCCTGGTGCCCATTAGAAGAGGGCATTGGCCTGCCTGGGCTGAGTTAAGTTTGTGAGACATCATGTGGGTGCTGGCAATCAAACCTGCAGCCAGTGCTCTTAATCACTGAGCTCTCTCTCTCTACCCCTCATACTGTGTCTTTATCAGACCAATTTCCCTCCTTCTTTGCTTCCCCTTTGTAAGGTAGGCTAAACTTTGTAAAGCAGGTGTCCAGCATTGGCGGGACTCTCCTTGGGCTTCTAGAAGTCTCCTTGGCGGGTCTGTTGCACTTCACCTGCCTGCCCCGCGCCTGGGCCTTGGGCTGTTCAGCTCTTCTCTCTGCAAACACAGGCACGAGCAGGCTGGGAGCGCCGGGTGGCGTGGGTCGGGGTGCCCGGGGTGCCCGGGACACCGTCCTGGGCTCAGCCACCCTCCCTCCCGCCAGCCGCGCTGGCACTCACGGTCCCGCCGCCGCCGCCGGAACGCCCGGTCTCTGTGCCGCCTCCGGTCCAGGTAGACGCAGTAACAGAGCAGGGCGACAGCGCCACCCGCCGCCAGGGCCGCCAGGAGCCCGACGCCGAGGCGGATGTTGGGCATGGGGCTGCCCAGCGAGCGTTGGGCGCGGGCCGGCCACGCGTGAGCAAACCTGGGGTCCCGAACCCCGGACAGCAGGACTTGGAATTCCGAGCCTTCTCCAGACAAGACCCACTCCCGAGACAGGGACATGCAAGCCTCCTTAGGATGCTTGGGTTTCCCTTGTGCTTTAGTTGGTTCCAAGTGAGCGCGGGTTATCTCTGGCCAGCCCTGACTAGTTAGGGCCAGCTAGCCTGCTCTCTTGCAATCTCCACCCACCGTGAGAAAGAATTCTGAAGCAGCAATTAGTCTAGGAGACAAGCAAACAAAACTTACTTTGTTGGTGCTTTTCTTTTTATGTTTTCTTTATTCAGCTAACACAACAAAAGTATAGACAGATTTTTGTCTCAAATATCATAAACCAGATAAAGGGGGGAAAAATCTAAATTCTTTTTTTCTTTTTACTTATATGTATGGAGTGTTTTGCCCGAATGTATGTGTGCCACCTGCATGCCTAGTGCCTGCAGAGGTCAGAAGAGGATGCCTGATCCCCTGGATATGGAGTTACTGAAGGTTGTGCGCTACCACGAGGGTGCTGGCAAAACTAGCGCTGGCAAACCCTGGTCCAAGAGCAGCAAATGCTCTAAACCACCGAGCCATCTCTTCCAGACCTGTTTAATTTTCAACTGTGTCCATTTGCTAACCCATGGTGGCCTGGAATTCTTCATCTTCCTGACTCAGGTTCCAGAGTACTTAAGTAACTTTTGTTGTGTGTTATGCAATTGTTATCTACTAATCTACCATTTACTTAGCATTGTTATTGTCACAGCAAGGCAATCCTAACTGCTGTAATTCCAGTGGGCTTGAGAAGTAGCCCTGGCCCTCAGTCTCAGCCTTCGTGAATATTACATACAGCTTTCATGAGTCCTGTATGTTCTTCCTATGATAACTTAAGTCTTCTAGTTAGGAAGATTATTATGAAAAGTTGGCTATAAACATAGGACAATACCACGATCTGATGTTACACAATTGTTGTGACAAAAATTTTCCTGGGGAGACACAACACACACATCTACTTACTCCTGAACAGCCTAAGGATAGCCCTGAAGTCTAACTTTGTGAATCAATGAGTTTGATTTGAGTTATTTATAGGAATATGGGTTGGGTGGGGGGTACTTAGAGACGCAGAAATGACTCGAAGACAGTTGAATCACCAAGGCCTACCCCAGCATGGTAGGAGCCTGGAGAGCATGGCCGGCCTGCAGGCAGCTCAATAGGTTGGAGTGTCCTTTCCAGGTGACATTTCTAAACCTCTTCCAGGCAGCTTGGGTGGTCTGTCTCTTCCAGGCATGTTGGGTGATCTGAGTCTTGTTTGCAGCTCGGCTTCCTTCCAAGGGGGACTCAGCTTTTATTGCTTCCCATGACAGGGAGGGGCCGATGAATCTGGTCACACTTGCTGGGGCTTCCAAACTCGGGTCCTCATGTTAACACACCAAAGTACTTTCTCTACTGGGCCATTTCTTCAGTCCCCAGGACTGACTTGATTGAGATCCAGAGTGCTGCAGTTAGCTCCAAAAGGTGTTTGTAAGACAACTGTTCCTTGTACCACCACAGCCCTACACTGTGGTCCTTCGCTTTCACTGATCTACAGGGTGAGTCTCTATTGTAGGACAGAGGGGTGGGGCCAGAGATGTGTTCAAGTGGAAAGTGAACAGCAACATAGAAAGGAGGGACGACGGCAGGCGGCAGCATCAGTGGCGGTGGTTGGTGGCGCACACCGCTAATCCCATCCCTTGGGAGGCAGACACAGGTGGATCTCTGAGGAGTCTGAGGGCAGCATGGTCTATAGAGCATATTCTAGGTCAGTCAGCGCTACACTGAGAAACCCTATCTTAAAAAAAAAGAAACAAAAAACAAAAACAAAAAACAACAAAAAGGAGGGACTAGTACCACAGAATGAGAAATAACAGTGTCACTGAAAATGACCAGAGATCATGGAGAAAGTGGTAAAATCTATAGGGTAAACACAGGTATTTCCCGTCTTGCTAAATTGGTGACCACCATCCTTATAACGCTAATCATCTTCAAACTAAGACTGTGTTAACAGTAGCTCCCAAAGCATGGTTCTGAATAATAGCTCCAATCACACACACACACACACACACACACACACACACACACTAGATTACACATCTTGAAGGTATACAACTAGCTATGTGTTGACATATATATACAGCATTAAGTGACTGAAACTACCATTAAAGCCAAGACGGTGGTCAAAACCACACTTGCTGTGCCACTGTGCCACGTCCTTCAGTCTTCATATTGGTAATCTCTACCTGCCTCCAGTTCCGTGGTTCTCACCATGGAGGTCACTTAATGTGGACTAATTACCCATTAATACAAAATGGTGTTCAGAGTAGACAGGAGAGTGAAAACAGCTAGTTTTGGGACTAGTGACCAGAGGGCTGACGTGAAATCCTCCAGCAGGTGGCACTGTTCACACTGCTGCGTCCCTTCTGGAGTAGTTGGCAGGTTTCTCTCTTCATCCTTCAGCACCTTCTGTGAATATCAACCTAACTGCCCGGATATTGGTCTAAACATGGGTACCACTATCTCCATCTTACTGTGGTCCTATTCCATCAAAGAACACAATGATGTTTTACATTATGATAGGAGAAATGGATTGGAATCAATGTGGCAACAACAATGTAGTGTGCTATGTACAATGACCAGAACAGCTCCTCTGCACTCAACGACCTGTCAAGCTGTGAATGTGAAAGTTGGATGTGAATAAATCAAGTCAGCACTTCTATAAGAACAATGTAAAACATTTATTGATATTTGAAATAATTTTTATATTTACTTACTTACTTGTGTATGAGTGTACATGTGTGTGCAAGTGTGCACATGCATGTCCCAAGATGTTTGTGTGAAGGCTGGCGATGCTGGGTTCCTCCTTCATCGTGTGAATGAATTCCAGGGATACAGCTTAAGTTATCAGGCTTGGCGGCAAGCATGTTTACCTGCTGAGCCTTTTCAATCGGCCTTTATTGATGTTTCTCAAATGTTAGTGTGTTTCTGAAGCAGTTCCTTACTCCTGACCAAGAACAGAAGCAGGCAGGGAATGATACTGTATACTGTAATCCCAACATTCATTCACAGGGGTGGAGGGGGGGTAGAGGCAAGAGGAGAGGATGGATCTCTGAATTCAAGGCCAGCCTGGTCTACAGAGCAAGTTCCAGGATAGTCAGAGCTACACAGAGAAACTCTGTCTTCACAAAATAAATAAATAAACAAATAAAATTTAAAAAAATAGTGTGCTTTTCATTTCAACTATAGTATTTTTTTATTCACATAGCAAAAGACATGGAAGTACTCCAAGATGTGAAAAGTGGTTATTTCTGAGCCAGTGAGATGATAAACTACCACAGTGAGTCAATGTACCATTCAAAATACTATGAAAACATTAACAGAGTGTCTAAACTTACACACACACACACACACACACACACACACACACACCAACCATCAACCAAGTTTGGATGTCATCACGTTTTAGCCTGTGACAGTTTAAAAGGAAAAATAAGGAATAGGAAGTAACAAGAGATTAAAAGATAAAATTGGCTGTGCATTTGGTCCAGCATTTGGGAGGATGAGGCAGAAGGATTTTGAGTTTGAAACGACAGGGCTACACATTGAAGACCTGTCTCAAAAATGGAAGGTGGCTCAATGGTTAAGAATCCCTGCTGTGGAAATGTAAGGGTCGGTCTGAGTTTGGATCCTAGCACCCACATAAAAAAGCTGGACAGGGTAGTGTGTGCATCTGTAGGACCATGTGGTGGCTGAAGACAGGAATGATTGCTGGGCTGGGGGCTTGCTGGCCACCAGCCTAGATTCAGGCTGTGAGACCAGGTCTCAAAGGAATAAGGCACACAGAGCAGGCCAGGACAATCTTCTCTGGCCTCAATACACATGTGCTCACACATACCTGTACATACATATGCATACAACACAGACTCCTCTGGCCTCTGTATACATATGCATACACTACACATACACATAAAAGCCAACAAGCCCAAAACAATGAACCAAACTACCACCTAAAGACAGCACCAGTCCTGGGCAGTGGTGGTGGCATGCACCTTTAATTCCAGCAATTAGGAGGAAAAAAAGAAAGAAAAAAAGATAACACTGGTAATTCTTCCTGCTTCTCAAGAGCTGACCTGCCAACATTCTGATGCATACACAGAGTCCTGGCTTAGCAAACTGTCTGTGCTAAGAAAAAGCCATGGAGCAGGGTGTAGTAGCGCATGTATTTAATCCCAGTAACCAGGACAGCAGGGCTATGTAGAGACCCTGCCTCAAAAAACTAAAGAATGCTAGCCATTGGGAACAAAGAGTGGATTTGGAAGTCAGAAGAAATGGCTTGAGCCTCACTTCTGTTATTCATTACTATCTTGACACCTTGGAACCTGTTTTCTCATATTTCAAAACAAAACAATGCCTTCATAGACCTGAGATAGTATGGAGCGTCACTCCACCAGGGAACTGTGCGTATTAGGCAAGATTCACTGGCTGCACTCCCTCCCACCAGTTACTGTCATCTTACCACCAACCATTTCATCGGGAATTTAGATTGCTAAGTATATGTGAACAGCTGCCTTAAGTCCATCCCCTACTGTTATAACTGAACTCTACAAACAGGGACATTTAAAAAGGTTTATCCAGCCCAAGCTCTACAGCACAGGAGGCTCAATGGTTAAGGTCATGTCCGGTGAACATCTGTGTGAGAAGAGAGCTGGTGACACCCACGTGACAGAAGAAGAGGCCAAGCCAGGGCAGTGGTGGAGGGGCTCGGGGGACACAGAGGAGTGGGCGAGGCGGCAGGGGTGTGGATGTGCATACCCACAGGTGCATGCTTGGAGCAGCTCTTACCACTTTAGGGTAACACCTTAATCCACGAATGGATGGACTTGTCTATTATGCAGGGCCAGTCACCTGGAACATTCCATCTGGTCAGT